AAGACTATTAAGTCTCACTTACGGTTGTTATGAGTTCCTGCGCTATTGTAAAAGTAATACGTCGACCGCGATACTGTGGCTTGCGCGGGGCCGTTAATGGGTGCCAACCGGACAGGATAGGTCACAGCGGACTGGGTGAGCGTTGATGTGAGAATTGCAGACACCAGAACAAGGGCTGATATCAAGCTCGGGGACCTGGCTCTCTTATTAGATTGGCAAATCCGCTTGTCGTCGACATAGAAAACTCACCATCCCCTCGTCGTCTTCAACAGCAGCAAGCTGCCCCAGACCCCTCGGCTTGCCGCATCAAAGTCTTGAAAGTCCTTCAACATCCGTGGACGGCGGAACCAAACCCACTTCAACTGCGAGAGACTCTCAGAAACCGGAATTACGAATGCGGCTCGCGCGAGGGTGGCGAGAAAAGCGACGAGTGTGTTCAGCGTCAATCCCAACGTCCACTGGGGTAGCTGTTCATTGTCGAATACGTTCAAGACAACAACCAAGGCAACAACCGAGCCTATACTGACGAAGCACCAAATTATTTCGGCCAGCCATGCCAGAAGTGCCGAGCTCCATGCTGGCTTGGATGCGTAGAAGACGTTGGTCTGAGACTTGGACAGGCCAGTGTTGATGTTAGACTCATCAGAGTTCTTGACACTAGCATCGGATCCCAGAAGCTTTGAAGAACTGCGGAGGCTATTTCGCAGTTTGGGGCTGTCTTGCTCAGTGCCTGGTGTAGGCTCATCGATTTGACGGTGCGTTGGCAAGATAGGGTTTCCGACCGGTGTCAACGGGATGGCCGGCGCGTGAGACTGAGTGCGGCTTCCGGCCACATCGCCAATGCCAATGAGCGGTCTCGAGTCATCGCTGGTGTGTTCCAAAAAATGGCTCCGGGTGTACGAATCCGATCGCTGCTCAGTCCGAAGTGAGATGGGCGACGGAATCAGTGGTTCTCGCGGGGATGTCATCCCGAACGGATACCAGTTCAAAGCTTATTGACCAAAGTGAACTGGCCGAGTGAATCCCGGTGATTCAAGAGAAATGACTAGAGTGCTGGAATATCCGCCAACTTTGATAGCCGGGCCTCACATCTCATAATCGCAGTAATCTTTAAAGATGGACATCTCAAGGCAACAACATTTTAAAATTGGGGCAGCAAAGGGACACAGCCTTGCCAGCTCAGTGGCGTCTGTGAGACACCTCGTCTCGGTGCCCAATCAAGTGATATTTACAGGGTGGAAATCTCGGCTCCACGGCCAAAGGGCATCTTGATGAGCAGATCAGGATGCTTGGCTGCATCAAGCCCTGGCACGTTCTGCTCGATAATAGGCGGTCACTGCCGACTCACTGCCGTCTCAGCCATCACGGTCATAGATTAGAGTATGCAGCCAGAAGACCTCGAAATAGCTTGGAATGCCACAGTCGGCGGCCAGTGATGTGCAGCACGATGACGGACACAGGGCTTGGAAAGTTTAGAGTGATTGGTGATACGATACTCCAGACACTGTGCCAAGCATCAACTACCAAATGAAGCCGTGGAGACTGAGAACCCAAGTCCTTAACTCCAGTTTCATCCCCTGCGCAGCCTGGATTATTGATTCAGTTGACACTGAGAGCATGCTCAAGTCTACGGGAATTGGCGCGTTCCATTACTCGTCGTACGCGCCAACGCGCCAACGCACCAAAATCCTTGCCACGGACGCTTCCAGGGCTTGATAGCGCTAATTTGGCGCTGATTCGCCGCTGAGCCTGCCCCCAAGTCCAGCATTCTGTACAGTCTAAGTTAGAATCGCCAGGCCTAATTGCGTGGCTAAACACCTGAGATAGGCAGTCTGAACCATCAGCAATAGTGTGGCCAAAGTCGCTGCTTGCGAAAGAGTTCGTTGCATACGAGACCATCAAGGACATCGGGGCCGATGAAGTCGGCGACAGCCGCTCGATCGCTCCAAGAACGTCGTGTTGGGCTTGGATGCAAAGACTACGCGATCCGATTGCGCTTGCAGTGGTGTGCCAAAGCCTCATTATTATCGTCTTATGCACTCGACTCATCATTGGCAAGAAACCCGATGACCTGCAATGCGCTAGACAACTATCGCCCTATTGTGAGTCTTACAACGAGCAACAGACTTTTACATCCTAGAGGCCGCGATTGATGAGTTATCTTTAGCGCCATACATCGACTCTTTTGATATGGAGTTTGTTGAATACACAGAGCAGAATCACTTGATGCAGCCCTCACCATACCGTGGAAAACCAACGCGTGAGGTGGAGGAAGCCTGGACTCGTCTCTGGAGAGGTACGTGTGCAGGATTGACTCCATACCCCTTGCAGTTTGACACAGCTGACCGCATCAAGTCCCTCCGATTCGCTTCCCTGAAGACAAGTTGCCGGCCCTGAACAAAGCGCCACCGGAGAAGTATGAGCGTGTTCCCAAAGAATTGGGGGGAGACGTCAAGGGTTTTCTCAATGTCTTCCACCAGCTTCACTGCCTGGTAAGCAAGGCTCTCTTCGTCACCTCAAAACCAGCCAGACCTGATAATATACTCCAGAATCTCGTGCGTCAGTACACTTACCGCAACGACTACGACTACAGCAACGTTACCGCTTTTAGGGCCCCTGAAGAACTTGTTCGAGGACACATCGACCATTGCATAGAGACGATCAGAAAGTCTCTCATGTGCACTGCTGACGTCACGCCTGTGGTGTTTGAGAAGGATCCATCACGGCCTTCGGGGTCAAAGAGCGATTTCAATCTGTGGCGGAAATGCAGAAACTTTGATAGAATTCAGGACCGGACTATTATGAACAGAGGTGTTTAAGAACAAAACTTCAGACTTCCTGTTGAGGCTGATGTAATAGAAGTAGGATGTCTATACATTTGTTGTGTGCACTTCGACATCGCTTTCCTGACACTGGACTATTCATGTGCATTACACCCCCATCTTATCACTCAGTCAAACTCGTGCAAATTCTCCAACGTACTACAGCGCTCTGTATAAGATTGCGTCCCAGCCTCAATCGTTCGTCGTCATGTGTACCTACTCTTGAGTGAGACGGTTAGCAGGAAGACTCGTTTCATAACCGACGCGTCCATGAGCATGACCACTACTTACACTATTCAAGTCAGCTTTCGCCTAGTTTAAGAAAAAATTGCTCAACTTACAGCACTCTCCTGTTGTTTGGTGGTCAAGATTCCCTATCAATACAGGGTGAGCGACGCTGACGAGATTCCACACAACATTAGCCACCAACCTTGTCGAGGTGTGCGTCAACCGGCATTGATGCCGGCAAAACTACAGCCAGCATCCAAGAAAGCAAAAGACCTCGCATTAAGATGAGCATCTCGAACACCATTGAGGCTTCGCATGTGGCTATGTGAAGCTGTATTAACTTGAAAGGTCTTGAGATACAACGATGGCTAGGAAACAGTTAGTCTGAAGTGGGAAATTTGACCGATATTGTCCTACTCCTTCGAGAAACTCTACATGTACATTTGGCGCCGTGGCGCTGGTTCTGACATTGCAGACACTGACAATGCCAACCATCAGCAGAACCGCTAAGGGCAAGGTTCTACCATGTACGTATACACACACCATTTCGGAGTGCTTGTCTATGGACGAATGCGCTTGCCACAATCACAGAAGCATTGCCACCTTGTTTGATGCATCAACGCCGCGTGGCTTGGCCTTCAATTACGAGCTGCCGACCGTTTTGGATCGTTCGAGAGAGGCTTTCACACTGAGCTAGGTAATTGACTCTCTCTCATCATGAGCAACCTGTTATAATCACATACAAAGACGCACCAAAACATCTAATCGAACTAGAGGAGAAGTGGTTTGAGGCGAGCCCTGCATTCCTGGATGACGGGTTCGAGTATGTGCCTGAGCGGGAAGATGGGACGCCACGCACCAAGTGTGTTGGTGAACCAACGAAAGATATTGATCACAACTGGGAACAACTTCATTGGAGTAAGTAATCACTGCTGCAAAAGTTTCTGACTTCCGCGGTATAATCATCGTGCTTATTGACTCTATCGCTAGGCCAATTCTTTCTTCTTACTGAAGACGAAGCGAAAAAGGCGTGGGGGCCTGGTTATGAGAAGTACTAGGCTCCCAGAGAGGGCGGATATATCGCAGCGTAAGTTGTTGCCTATGACACGGAATTCCATGGCTTACGAATCTCTCTGAGCAGCTTAGAAGTTATGCATACTGTTCACTGTCTGGTGAGTGAAGTCAAGAGAGCGTCGTCATTGGAAACAACTGACGTGCGTCAGGATCACATCCGCCGGGCGTTTTACCCGGACATATATTCGAACAAAAACCCGATCCACGGCACCAAACACCGAGATCACTGCACTGAGCACCTCAGGCAAATCATACTGTGCAACTCGGACTTGACGCCAATTCCGTCCATCTTCTACATTGGAGTTGAAGATAACTACATAAACTCCGACAGGCCACACACTTGCCGAAACTTCCAGAAGATCAGGGGCTTTGTTTCCGACCGGTTCAATGGCAGTTCCCGGGTGGCGCCTCGTCCCGGCACGGTTTGGAGTGATGAGTGGATCAACACTGACAGGCCTCATTCATAAGCATATGTAAACATCCGAAGATTAGAAGGGGTATGCCGCGAAGGTGTTATCAGCGGCTCGGGGTTTTCAATAACGACACTGCGATGGACTTGCATAGTTTATGAATAAGTCAATGAAACTTTTGTCTGAAACGTCATCATATGTTACCGGCGTTGAGGTACCTTCCAACGGGGTCCTGGGAGCCATGGGTAAGGCGTGTTCCTGATGCTCATTCCTGACTCGGTCGAAGAAGCTTTCGGGAAGCTCTTGCCAAAACAAGGGATAGCTGAGTTCTAGACCGCGGAGAAGATCGAGCGAGCAAATGCTCCAAGCACAGGTTCTGTTGGGCGGTGTTGGAGTATGTTCATCCCATTGAGCTCCCATCACCTGTCTCTCCACCAGTTGCTTCGCAACGGCTTTTCAATGAACGATGGCCTCGAAGTTGTCTCAGATCTACAGCAATGGATGGAATTACGAGCTCATTTCAGATGATCATGATGCCTCTAGTGAGGACCTGAATGAGAGATCCAGCGGGTAGCCTTTGTTTTACTTCTGGAATATTTTAGCAAACGGAGCGCCTCCACAGATGTACCCACCAGTTTGCGATCTGGATCTTCTGGGCAGGCTCAATTGTGTTCACTGGAATACTGTCTATGTCAGCTATCCTGACTATTTCAAGCTGGTCTCGCGATCCCCAAGTCGCTTCTTGTCGCAATCCCGCCATACGGCGCGAGTGGCGCGCGCTCACGGCCGAAGAGAGGAAGGATTTCACTGACGCCGTAAACTGCCTGAGTCGAGAACCTGCGCGTTGGGGACCTAACGGAACGGTCTATGATGGCTTCTCTCTGCTGCATGAAAGAAGTGGATCGTTGTGTATGCACCTCTCTCTGCGTGTGTTCGCTATGTCTGACACTTGTACAAACTCCAGCTCATGGATCTGCTTCATTCTTGCCATGGCATAGGTACTTTCTTAAGGCGTGGGAGACTGGGTTGAAAGAACATTGTGATTTTAAAGGACAAGTACCGTAAGTTGATGAACAAGTCCTGTCCAGAACTCGTGCTGAACACACCAACGGCAGCTACTGGGACTGGACCATGGACTGGATGGATCTCGCCGCATCATCAATATGGAACAACGAGACAGGCTTCGGCGGCGAAAGAGTCCTCTTATAGATAGAGGAGGTCGTTACGTCACCGATTTTTTTTTTTTAACGCCTGTTATATCCCTCCTTACGTATAAGGCGTCTGCGCTAGCGATTATACAAACTACTTATATACATATAAATTCTAGCTATACTAGCTTAAATAGACTTCTAAAAAAGGAAAAAGAATAATAATAAACTAGAAACTCCTATAATCTAATACTATAAAATGAGCTTTATGGTCTTATTAGCTTTATTTAAAGTTCTAGAAAGTATAATTTAAAAGAATATAAATATATAAATTATATAGAAAGAAGTAAAAAGTTTATATCATAGTAGTATTATAATAGGTTTAATAAAATAAAGCTATTTACAGGATTTATTATAATATTATTATACATAGAGTAGTTTCTAAGTTATTTAAAACTATATAAAATGTTATATTTTTTTTGAAATATATATTAAATTAACTTTAAAATAAAGTTCCATGATATTAATATTCTTAGAATAATAATATCTACGTTTAATATTGATACTTTTTAAAATTAAAATACTAAGAATAAATACTATTTTTAAAAGAAAATAATACTAAATTAATATTAATACTTTTTAGGGTTAAAATATTAATTATTATTGTTAAGATCTTATAAGTTAAAAAATAATATAATATAACTCAACTAATAAGATTTTTAAAATATTTACTTTTAATAAGTATTTTACTAATAAAAATATACGAATTTAGTAAATATATATAAAGATTTAATACATAAATAGAGTAAAAAAAGTAAACTAATTTTACTAAATTTTATTGAAAGCTAATTTATATTATAAATAAATATTAATACAAAATAAAAAGAATAAATAAACGCTGTAAAATTAAGCTATTTTAGCTTTAATTTTATACCTATATATTTAGCTTTAATAGCTTAACATCTATATTTATTTACTTTTTAGTAGAATAATAAATATAAATAAGGTTTCTCTTTATTATATAAACAGTAAACTTAAACATTTTAATATTTAAAGCGTTTAAAATATATTATAAAATCCCTATAGCTATTTTATATAGCTACTAGCTAGTAAAGTTCTTTTCTTATTAGAGTTTTAAATTCTAAAATTAGTTTAAATTAAATGTTAAATTTAAACTTAATATAATATTTTAGCTAACCTTAAGCTTATTATTCCCTAATGTCACGGGCTAGAGCCCGGATTGATATCTCCGGCTTCGCCGGAGCAGTTACCGAGATCTGGCTCCGTTGGACCCACTATTCTGCCGCAGTACGCCGCCTAACCCAGCCTGCTTCACCGCTGTTAGGTGCCTACTCTTGTAAAGTCCTTTCTTCCTTCTTCAGCTTAGAATAGTCAATCGACGGCACCTCTACGTTGAACAAGCCTAGGGGCCAGCCCCTTACACCTAAAAGCTTTAAGCTATTATTTTTACAATTTCTATTTTGTATGAGCTATTATAAATAACTAAATATAACGTAAATAATAAGCGAGCCGAACAGACAAGCGAGCTGAACACCTAACTGCAACCACAGCATCTTCTTACTTCTACCACACGTTAATCCCACAATAATAATGGCATCAACACAAAAAGAAGCTTAAGTGGTCCTAGCAGTCCAAGCTATCAAAAACACACTAAGTCTCAGTATCTGAGAGGCTGCCTGGATCTACTCCGTCCCAGTTATAACGTTATACGATCGATTGAAGGGAAGATCATCATAATGTAACACCACGCCTAACTTGCGGAAATTAACTACGCTTAAAGAAGAAAAGCTTATTAAGTATATTCTCAACCTGGATTCCCAATCGTTTCCTCCTCAGATTGGTGGTGTTAAAGATATAGCTAATCGACTGCTTGCTGACTGCGATACGCCCCCAGTTGGGAAGCGCTAGGCTTCGAACTTTATTAAGCGACAACCACAGCTCTGGACGCGCTTTTTTCGCAAGTATGACTATAAGAGGGCCTAATGCGAAGATCCAGACGTAATAAACGTATGGTTTCATCTTATGGCGAACATAATTGCAAAATACAGCATTATGGACTCTGATATCTATAACTTTGATGAGACTGGGTTTATGATAGGCCAGATTGCATCTAGGATGGTTGTTATAAGTGCTGAAAGGCGTTCAAACATAAAAATAATGCAGCCTGGCAATTATAAATAGGTTACAGTTATTCAGGCTATCAGTTCGTCAGGCTATAGCGTTCCGCTATATATCATCATTACAGGCTAATATCACCTCTCCACCTGGTATACTGAAACCGATCTACTATGCAACTAGGTTATTATAACATCTGAAAACAGATAGATAACAAACAAAAGAGGCCTAGATTAGCTCCAGCATTTTGATCAGCATATAAAACTGCGTATAAGTAGCAGATATCGCCTCCTCATCGTTAATAGTCATAAAAGTCACTATGCAGCTGACTTTAAGATATATTGCAAGGAAAACGACATTATTACACTTTATATGCCAGCCTATTCCTCTCATTTACTTCAGCCCTTAGATGTTAGGTGTTTTAGGCTACTGAAGAAGGCTTACAGCTGAGAAATTGAGGAAAAGATGCAACAGGGTGATACCTATATCATAAAGGAGGACTTCTTCCCTGCGTTTTACAGAGTATTAACAAAAGCAATTACTGAAAAAAACATTCAGAGAGGATTCAGAGGGGCTAGGCTTATGCCTTTAAGTGCAGAGAGTGTGCTATCTAAGCTTGATGTGAAGTTACACACTCTAACGCCTCCAGGGTCTCTCCTAATAACACCCCCTACGTGGACTTCTCAGACGCTAAACAAACTAACAGAGGCGTCTTCTCAGTCTGAACTCATTAAGAATCAAATCTTACGCTATCAAAATAGCTCACTAACTTCAATTGTTAAGGCTGTTAAGTATTTATCAAAGGGGGCGTGTGGATTTATATATAAGATTGCCTTATTGAGGTCTGAGGTCCAGATACTTCAGGAAGAGAATAACCTACTTAGCCGACGTAGGAGGACTAAGAAAACACGTCTTAGATAAGGAGGAAGTCTTACTGTAGCTGAGGCAGAGGATATTCAGTCGCAGAGAGAGGCGACAACTCAGATGGAGGAGGAAACGCATTAGAGTAGTGGTCGTCAGCTAAGGACTGAGACGGGCTAACGGCGGTGTGGCGTCTGTGGGAACACCAGTTATAATGCGCGAACATATCAATTTGTTGAAGAAACGTCTAATGAAGAGGTTTCTGAGTAGTTTTAATTGATTTATAGTTTTTGTGGTTATTTGATGATTATATTTATAATGTGGTTGCGGTTGGGTGTTCCGCTTGCTTGTCTGTTCGGCTTGCTTATCATTTACGTTATAAGTTTAAAAAAACCCAGAAACAAACTTTACTAAATAATTAATATATTTATTATCTAGTGTATCTTTATATCTAAAAGTTTATTAAACCTCTATTAATATTAAAATATTTTTTATTACTTATTTAAAATCTAAAATAATTTCTTATAATAAAGTTGATAGTACTTTTCATAAATAATAAATTACAGTTTAACTATCTAAATATATTATTATAATAAAGATCTATTACTTAATAAATAGAGTATTATAGCTAAACTAACTTTTACTCTTTCTATTTCAATATTAAAGATATTTATTTTAAAAAGCTTATGGCTATTATTATAAATATTAATTTAATTATAGAATATTATAACGCTAAAGCTTATTTCTTTTAAGTTTAATTATACATTATTAGTATAAATCATTAATTAGTTTAATAATAAGCTTTTAAATTATTCTCAATACTACTTTATAGCTATTTTCTTATTACCTACTTCTATTAATAGTATTATAAAGCTAAAATCCCTTAAACAATAATATTAACTTTATAATTTATAATATATTTAATTCTATCTCCATAAATTTTATTAGTTCCATTAACCTCTCTATTTAATATAAAACGTTATAATTCTATATTTATATAATGAAAGGGTGATTTCTATTTGGCGTTTTTAATTAGAGCGTAAATCTTATTTATATAGTATTAAAAAAGAGGTAGATTAATAAAAGTATAAGCTTTAATTAATATTTTATACTATATTAATATAACTCCTCTTAGTATAATATTAATTATAACTTAAAGTTCCTCTAATAGCTTTTTCTATTTAGTACTAACTTTTAAATAATTACGTCTATATAACTTTATATTTAACTAAATAAAGCTAAAATACTAAATCTTAAAACTAAAAAACATTTTAAGAAGAATTATAATATAGACTATTTTATATATTTATATTAATAAAGTACCTCTATAAACTTTATTTACACTTTTTCAATATTTTATTATTATTTTAGTAATAGTTTTTTATTCTAGAATTTGACAATAAGATTAAAGGTTTCTATTAAAATATATTTTAAGCTATTCTATAACTGTTTTAAGATAGATAATTACGTTTTTAAATTAAATAATAAAAGTAAGCTTATTATATTTCTATGTAAAGTAAATTAATTTAGGTTTCAAAAAGTTAAAGTTAGTAATTATATTATTTAAAATCTTTTATGTAGCTTAAATTACTTCTTTTAGGTTATCCTTAATATTAAAGATATTAAAGTTATTTATATGTCTAAATTACATTTTAGTAAAATTTACATATTATAGCTTAGTAATATATTAAAATAAAGTATTAATAAACCTAAAAGAATTTAAAATAACCTATAAGCTAATAATATTATTAGAGTTTTATATCTTTTATAATAGATACTTATTAAGTATATATTATTTAAATAATAAACTAAAAACATGAAGTTCTCTAACTAGCTTAAATAATAAAACTACTAATATAACCTATTTTTTAAAATAATATTAAAAATACTTTCTATATCTATCATAATAAAAATTACTATTTGTTCTCTATTAAAATATATTTCAATAAAACACTTATAACTTATCAACAGAGCATTTTATACTTTATATTAAGCTATACTATATATCTTATAATAAATCTTTTAAACCGTTTTCTAATAATTAAAAATAATAAAATAAGTTACTAGCTTTTATAAGTACTAATATCCCTATTTAGTTTTAAAATTAATAATATTGTAGCCTCTTATAAAAAAAATAATATCTTATTATTAAAGAAGCGTAAAACAATCTATAAATATATAACTTAGCATATAACTAAACTATCGGAAATATTAAGATAATAATATTATTAATACTTAAAATAATATTACTTACTTTTAAAATAGTATTTTACATTTCCTCTCCATAAACCTTTAAATTAAAAAGAATTATTTAGTAAGAAATGACAAAGGTTTATAACTAAATATTATTATCTACTATATAAACCTCTAATACTTTCTATTTAAAATATAAAAGGTTAATAATAAAACTAGTTATCATTATTTTAAAAACAAAAAGGGGATTAAAACTAGCTCTTAAATTTCGATTAGTTTATAATATTATATAATACTTTAGTTAAATTAATACGTTTAATTTAGCTAATCTATATATTTATTTTTATATTCATAACTATTTTATTTTAAATTTACTTACAATTTTTATCTCTAAGTTTTGTAAGTCCTAAATAATATTATTTTATTATTTCTATTGTTTGTAAGTAATATTATAGTTTTTTATCTATTAAGTTTTATTTCTATTTCCTTTTCTATAACGTTTACTTTTTACTATAAATATAACATATAGAAAAGTAATAAAATTTTATATTATTTATTAAGCTTTTTATATATAGCTATACCATTTTTAAAAAGCTAAATATACTCTAGTATATATTTAGTTTAAAAGAGGAGTTTTATAAGTTTAAATTAGTATTTAGCTTATTTTGCTAGAGGAGGTTTACTAAGGTTTGAATAAGAGAAAATTATAATAATAATATATAATAATCTAAGTTTATAAAGAACTATTTAACTACTTATAATTTTGTATAAGAGATATTAAAAACGCTAAATTGAAAGTACTACTTACTTTATAAATAGAAATATTTAGTTCATTAAGTAGAATAAATTAAAGCTAATTAAGCTAGTTTATAAAAATAATAATACTAAAAATAAAGTTTACTTTTAGTCATTAAATCTTATAAAAATAGTTACAGTTATTTATAATTAACATATTATAAAGTAGTTCCCATAATATAATATCATTAAATATTATATAGTTACTCCTTTTATAATATATATAACAAATATATTTACTTTTAACTTTCATTTTTAATAAGTTATAATATAGCTTAAAAATAATTATTAAAAAAGCTTAAAATTAATAACATCTTTTTAATATAAATAATAACTTATAATTAAATTTTCTTTACATTTTCATTATAAATATATTTATATATATAATGTTATAAATATATTTTAGTTTTATTATTCTTTTTTTTCATAATATACTAAAACTTCTAGATAAAAATAATATTAGCGCTAGCTATATTAATAAATCTAAGAATAATATTATATATTAGTTTTATTTTCTGAATATTAACTTAAAAGATATTAAATAACTTATTTATTAATAGTTTTTAGATCATTTTAACTATAAAGCTTTTACTATATATTAAGCTATAAAATAGTTTTTATATCTAAAAGCTAATATAAAAAAGAGGTTATTAAGCTAATATTAGCTTAATTTTTATCTATAAAATTATAATTAAATTTGAAGATTTTTATAACTATTCTATAGTATAAGCTAGATATATTTATATTCTATAGCTATTCTAAAAAGGAGGGAATAAATATTAATAAACCTTTTCCTTTAAATCTCTATAACTTATTACATTATAATATTTTAAAAAGTTTAATACTTTTATAATAATATTTAACCTTATTCGTTTTTATTATAACTTAAAACGTCCTACTAGCTAACTATTCTAGTTTTTAATAAATATTTAAAGTTAATATTATAGTGAGGAGTTTTGTAATTAGTATATTACTTTAAAATAGTATATTTATTATTATTAACATATTTTAGCTTTTTAAAATAGCTATATAGCTATATATATTTATAGTCTTTATAATAATACTAATTAAAATAAGTTATAACTATATTACTTTAGCGTAAAATATTATTTTACTTTTCTATATAAAAATAAAGCTAGAAGCTCTAAAAAAAGAGACCTCCTTTTTAAATATAATTATTTAAATCTATTATTCTAATTATTTAGTTTTTTTTATAAAGAAATATTAAATTAAGTTCTATTTTACTATAATATATATTTTATTGTATGTTAAAACTTTTATCAATTTATATTAGTTAGTATAATAATTATATATTATCTTTTTAATTTTGTAGAAAATATATATAGCTTAAACTATGAATTCTTTAATATTTATCACATTAAATAATTCTAAAAACTTATTATTATAAATAAGTATAGTTAAACTAATTAATATATTTACTAAAATAACTATAAACCTAAATAAAATCTAAATATTTTTTTGATATCTAAAATATTAATATTATAACTTTCTATAAACCTTCTATAAAATACTATAATATTAACTTTTTTAAACTTATTAGATTCTTTATAATAAATCAAAACCTAATAAACTCTATTAAAATATTATAACTTTCTAATTTTCTTTCAAAAACTATTTAAATAAGTTAAAGTGTTTTAATTTAGTATCTTTATATAAATTTACTTAAAATAGAAACTATTACTAACTATTTTAATATAGCTATTAAGAGGAATTAAAATATTATTAAAGTTTTTTTATATAATATTTTAAAAGGAGTTAAGATTTAAATAAAAGTAAGTATTTTATTTATTTAGAAAACAAAAAAATATCTATTCAAAAAGCTATATAAAATATCTTATAATTTTAATATTTCTTAAATTAATAAAAACATTATTAATAATAGCTTTGAATATTTTAAACATCTTACAATTAATTTTATATTATTAATAGTAGAACTTTTTAATTTTAATTGTATTAAAATTTAAGTTAGTTATATTATAATAGATTTATTATTATTAAGTTATATTGAATATATTAAAGTTAAACTAACTTACTCTTATAAGCTAATTTATTTTCAATAGATCCTCTATATATTACTTCATAATTAATAAATACTCTTTAGTAATTTTACGTTTTATAATAAAAAATATTACTTTTACTAATAATTAGAATAGTATTAATAGAAGATTAAAGAGATTAAATACTAATAAAGTAATTATACTATAAATAGCTATTATACTAAAAGTATTAAAATAGCTAAAATAAGGTTATGAAGGATATTAGTATAGGGTAGTGGTATACGCTAATAGCGCTTACTAAGCAAAGTACATAAGAAGGAGAGTTAGTTGCGTCACTGATGGCCCATTCTCCCATTTGCGTCCCATCAGATACAACCGCACCTACGTGGAACACTGTCTAGCTCGTGGCTTTAAGACCACCGATACAGCTGGCCGTCCTCTCGGCCCTTGGTTTGGCCCGGAGTCGATCGGGAAACTTATCAGGTCGCCGAGGTACCGGGATTTCGAGTGGGAGATGGATAATCGACTGCATAATCGCGTTCATCGCGCTGTGAGCGGTGACTTCTTGGCTTTCGCTGCCGGAAACGGTGAGATGAATAATCCTCCACCTTCAGTAACCGACTAATGTGAGCCACAGACCCAGTCTTCTACCTGCATCACGCACAGATTGATCATCTTTGGTGGAAATGGCAGCAGGAAGATGCAAAGACACGACTATATCAGTATCAAGGGGAGCGCCAGCGCGATTCGACTGGAAACGCTACTGTGTCGGATATTCTCCGATTCGGCGGGTTCATAGAAGATGTTCCGGTCTCGCATGTTATGGACACGCAGAACAAATTCTTATGCTAACGCTACTGAGCGCTTTGGCTATTTACCAGAGAGATAAAGACACAACCATCCAGTTGCTGAGGAGGTAGCTGGCCAATTTGCGTTCTTTGCCATGGACATCGCATGCTAGCTCGGTGGTCTTTACATCTTTTGCCGAAGGTTTTTCCCGACAGCAACTTCAAGTGTAGCAACGATAACTTCACTTCTGGCCCCGAATGAGTCTGAAGAATCACTGATTTAGATACACTACCAGCCTTCAATTTGATATTGTGTTCTATTTTACCAGCCATTCTCTGTTCCTTCATATGACGACAAGTACCAACACGAATGAGGTGGTTCAGCAGAACCTCAATAGCCAGTGCAAGTAACACATTTCACTTGTCGATAGGGATAACATAATCTGTGGCAGGACTGTCGCCACCGGGATCAGCGGGGTCTTCTCTCTTGTCGATGGGAATGATATAGTCTGTTGCTGGATTGCCATCCCTTTTGTCGATCGGAATAACGTAGTCAGTTTCCGGGCTTTCATCCCGTTTGTCAATGGGAATAACGTAGTCCGTGGCCGGACTCTCATCGCGCTTGTCGATGGGAATTACACAGTCCGTGGCAGGGTTCTCCCCCGACGCAACAGCTTCGCCCCCGTTTCACTCAACAAGAACGTTGTTGATCTTGACTTCTGTCAATTATCTTCATAAAAGATTGATACATATCCTAAGTATTAGGATCAAGCTTGTGGCCACTTACGGACATGCTGGGGAGGACCAAAGAGCTAGTGACAAAAGCAAAGACCGCGGTGACGCAAGAGAGCTTCATGATGTTAGGAATATGTAAACTTCGTTTGGTTATGCGTTTGGATGAACTGATCGAACTTGGAATCTGAAATGATGTTCGAGAAGACTTCGAAACGACTTTTCTATGAACCCTTTCCGGCAAAGATCCCTTAAGTATCGGCTGGACAGGCACACGGTTCATCATTTGTTTGACAGGGCTTTGACAGAGGAACCTTCGTGTTCAAGCCTCAGTCACTCACATTCTGATCTTCCTCGGTCTTCCAAACAGAAGTCAATCAAGTCCATCGAACCCCATAAGTTTCCTCTCAATGGCAAAAAGTCTCGTTCAACAGAGCCTGATTGAAGGCCAGCTCTCCGGCTCGTCACTCATGGGATCCCATCGATTGATCAAGCCCCAGATAGGGTTTTGGTCATTTTCTTGCCGTTCCATGGAACACTGTCGATCTTATGGTTCATGCGGTCAAGCCACGAGTCACTGTCGATGGGTGGCCCGTTCTCGGGTTCGACCGTTCTCGGGTTCGAGGGCTGCACCGTCGTGGTCGAGTCAACCAGTAGCCGATTCGCGACGGACGACGTGGTAATCACCTGCGAACTTGGACTGGGGACATTAGTATAATTCTCTTGAATGATACTATATTTGTAAATTTTCAGAATCTACTGCCTTAAGACCATCGTACGAGCTATGTGTTCGAAACGTCACTTTTCCTTGATGCCAGACAACTACTCTTCTGGGGCTTTGGACAGACTTCTTACCTTCAGTTGATGTATGCTCTCACAGAGGTCACAATAAACTTCTCCATTTGTGACTACGAAACGCGATAGTTGCTTGTCGGCCTTCTCCACGCCTCTCCAAAGTCGTCTATCCACGCTGATCGCACTCTCTTGCGCCGCTTCTGCCGGCATACTGCGGCATTCCTTCAACTCTTAATGTTCTATCCGTAAGGTAGATCACAAGTAGACTTTCCGGACCTTGGTGTCACCCAATCTGCAGAAAAAGCGGAAATCAAGTGAGTGAACCACTTGTGGCCGAGGCTGTTGGTCTGTACTCATCAGGGATCCAAATGGTCTTCATCTTCCCTTCCATAATCCAGGCGCCGTCGGAACCGATGCCAATTCCACTGATTGATGGAGACGATACCATCTCTCCGCATGAATGTGACTCGGCAGTCAAAGAGCCTGTCAATATGTCAACAGCACCGAAGTCCGTAAATATCCGAGCGGTGGAACATGGGTCGAATGCAAGATATCGCGTGTAACCCAAACCGAGTGTCTGTAGAGCTACGCCCGTAACTGCGTCCCAGAGCCGCACCGTCTTATCAGCCGACACCGATGCTACGATCTGGCCATCCGGCGAGAACGTCACGTCAGCAACCCCTTGCTCATGACCCACGAGCGTCCGCAGGGCTAAGCCCGTAGCTGTTTCCCAGAGGCGTACGGTTTTATCGAGCGATGCTGATGCGACCACCTGGCCACCTGGAGAGAACGTCACGTCATAGATTAGTTCTCTATGGCCCTCAAGCCTGTGCAGAGCCGCGCCTGTGGCTACATCCCATAGCCGTACCGTCATATCAGTTGATGCTGATGCTACTAGCCGGCTATCTAGTGAGAACGTCGCTGCGAGAACTGTATTCTCATGGCCCTCAAGCCTCCTCAGGGCTGCGCCTGAAGTTACGTCCCAGAGCCACACTGTCGTGTCCGACGTTGACGCTATCACCTGGCCATCCGGCGAAAAGGCTACGCTGTATACTTGGCGCACATGGCCATCGAGTGTGTGCTGAGCTGCTCCCGTGGCTACATCCCAGAGTTGCACTTTCTTGTCCTCCAATGCTAACGCCATCATACGGCTATTTGGTGAGAAGGCTGCCGCGTAAATCACACCATGACTATCAAATGTCTTTAAGGCTGCGCCTGTAGCTGCGTCCCAGAGACGTACCGTTCTATCATGCGACGTTGACGCCACTACCCGGCCATCTGGTGAGAAAGCCATCGCGTAAACCTTGCCCTTATGGCCCTCAGCCTCATGCATCTGCTGGCCTGTACTTGTAGCTGCGTCCCAGAGCTGCACTGCCCCATCTTCTAATGCTGAGGCCAGTATCTGGCTGTCTGGCGAGAAGGCCACTGCGTGGATCGCAGTTTGGCCATGAAGCGTCCGCAACGCTGTGCCTGTAGCTGCGTCCCAGAGCCGCAGTGTCCTATCGCCTGATATTGACGCCACCATGTGGCCGTCCATCGAGAATATGACTTCGCGGACCACATGATCCTCCTTGAGCGTCCGAGGAGTTGCACCTGTTGCAGCGTCCCAAAGTCTTACTGTTTCATCATGCGAACCTGACGCCACCACTTGGCCATCTGGCGAGAAGGCTACTGCGCGGACTGCATCTCCATGGCCCTCAAACTTGTGCTGAACTGCCCCTGTAGCTGTGTTCCATAGCTGCACTATCGTGTCGCTTGATGCTGACGCCACTAACTGACTGTTTGGCGAGAAGGTTACGGCGTTGACTGCAGATGTGTGGCCTTTGAGCGTCTGCCGGAGCGCGCCCGTGTTCACATCCCACAGCCGCACCGTTTCGTCGGTCGACGCTGACGCAACGACTCGGCCATCCGGCGAGAAGGTCACTATGGTAACCCAACCTTCGTGGCCCTCAAACGTCTGGCGGGCTGCGCCTGTAGCAGCATCCCAGAGCCGCGCTGTCTGATCGAACAACCCTGAGGCCACTAACTGACTGTCTGGCGTAAAGGCTACTGTAAAGACTGCAGACGTGTGGCCTTTGAGCGTATGCTTTATCCCACCCGTAGTCACGTCCCACAGCCGCACCATTTCGTCGTGCGACGCTGACGCAACGAGTCGACCATCTAGAGAAAAGGCCACCGCGGAAACTCCTCTACTATGGCCCTCGAGCTTCTGCCACACTGCGCCTGTGGCTACATCCCAGAGCCGCACTGTTCTATCGCTTGACGCCGACGCCACCAACTGACCGTCGGCCGAGAAGGCTACCTCGACGACCGAAGATGTGTGGCCCTTGAGCGTCTGCCGATGCGCATCCCAATCCAATTTCACTCCTTGAACACGGGGCAGATTTCTTAGACATGGGCTCCAGCATCTCTGCCTTACCGTACTTGCAACTGGTAGGAACAAAATTAAACCCCCATAGATCTGAAGTGGCATCCGCTCAATCATGGATCCAAAACTTCCTATGACCTTGCTGGCATCTTTTGCGAACTCACCCAGTTCAGCAAGTGTCTCAGAGCGCTGCTTTTAAAGGGATTAGCTTATGTGCAGCACAAGAACACCTTTAACTGACCTGACACATCTTAGTAATTTGCTGAATTGCGGCGGCTCCATTCGACATTTTGCCCAGGAGTGCCAATATTTCTAACCAGTAAAGGAAGTGCTCGTAGAGGAACTCGCAGATGTCATCTCCCAGAGACCATTCACTTTGTTGTAAATGATACACCCAGTAAAGGCAAGCATACCGGAGATCGGCGGGGATATGTGTGTCCATCACGTCTTGGTTAATCTCATCTCCTTGTACTGTGGGCTTGTCAATGCCACAAATGTCCCGTCTGAGCCCTGCTTTCATGCGTTGAATGCATTGTGCGGCTAGCATGGCATGTGTTGCTGTTGCGTTTACGATATGCTTACCGTTGCCTGTATCATCGCAGTGCAGAAGGAAATCGCTAAACGATTTGTGCAGCAATCGGATGGGGCGATGACGTTCGGGGGGTATTTCCAGCACTGCATGTAACTCGAGGAGCCACCAGTTGACGTCATCAATGTCCATACCCAGGAGAGCGGTAAGTGAGGCAGCAGATAGCGGGGTAGCAAGAAGAACAAGAGCCCCAAGGAACTTCAGCTGCTGGTCAGAGTCTGCTTCCTCGTCGCTAAGTATCTGGCGGAGAATAGGATCGTAGATCTGATGTAGCTGGGACTTCCCCTCTTCGCATTGCTTAAGCCATAGCTTTAGCTGTTTCTTCGGGTTGCTTAGGCGTTTCTCGTCAAAGACGAAACGGTAAAGAGTAGCGGCGTAGATGAAGAGGGGTTCAGGGGCTGTGGCTAGTTGAACCATGCGAGCCAGATCTTCATCGGCAGGCCACGGGTCTTGCTGCACCTTGCGCCTCTTTTTGATTTCTGCGAATTTGACCATCAGGAAGGTCTGGATGTCGGAATTAGCATCTTCACAGAATTCGCGGTGAAGCTCAAACGTTCGAGCATTATTGTGGCTAATGAAGGGCTCAAATGCCGCGTTGACCTCGGGTGCGAACCTGCTCGTGAACAGAACACGCAAGCGTACTGTGCGGATGTCCTGAAGCTTGTCCAGTAGTGTTATGACCTGTGATAAATGCTCAGGGCGCTCACATTCATCTAGAGCATCGATGACGATAACCATGGGCTGTTGGCTGCTATGGACGGATACGAGAGCTATGAGGGGACCCATGATAAGCTTGTCAAACTGCGTCCTAAGGTCCCTCTCTCCGATGGCATCTCCGTCTAGACCGTCGATAGAGCGCCTAAGATGCTCTTGAAAGCAGGGAATCGTATCAGCCAACTGCACAGCAATAGTAGCGAATAGCCGGCTGGTGTCATTGCGGCCCTTTTCTCCTCTTTTGAAGAAGTAACCAGCAGCAAGTTGTTTCCGCTTAGCCCAAGAGTCTGTAATCGTCCGTGCAACGGTGGACTTGCCGGTCCCCGCCGGGCCCACAAGCCAGAAGAACGGTTCGCCAGAGTCATCGTTTGCCCAGTTGTATATCGATTCCTGAACGCGGACCCGGGTACCGTTCTCACATCTCGGCCTGTCTTGCACATCCGCACTGTCGAAGCGCGCCTCGTTGACAACGCAAAGGTCGAGAGGGCGACTGTTGAACATTTCGCTACTATGCGTCAGCAGACTGTCTGCATTCAGGCACAAGAGAACGCACATCTGGAGCTGAAGCTGCTCTGCCGAAATGTCGCGGTGTTCCCTTGAAACATCGAGATGATCCTTTGCAATCGATAGAAGCGACTGCATGTCATTGTAGTTTTGCTGTGCGACTTTTCTGATGGCTTCTAGGGTATTCCGCGAAGCAATGCTATTCAGAGTGTTTGATTCTTCTCGTATGATTTGCTCTCGTTCTTGTATATTGGACATCATCCTTTTCCAGTCGTCGTATTGGATAACATCGCGACTCATGTTAGCAAGCCATTTCCGGTAGAATCGGATGACGGTCTTGATCTGGAACTCAAGGATATGTCGGTAGAGATCGACGATATGGCCGTGGAACTCTGCCTGTGGTCCTGTTTCGAGCAGGTTTTCTGGCCATAGAAGACGTTCAAGTTGGACGTAGTATAGAAGACGAGAGGCGACATATGATAAGCCGCCACGGTTGGCTTCCTCTGCCGCACTTGGATTGGTGAAGACTGGTAGTAAGACACATATGCCGGCCCAGACGAGGGACGCCTCGGAAGACGCCTTAAAAGCCTCACCGATAATACCTTTCATAGTCTGCACGAATTGAGCAGTCTGTTGAACCTGGTCCCTCAGGATAAATTGGTGCCCAAATAGAGTGTATTTCGTTCGCTTATCATCAGTGCGTCGAAGGCCTCGGTCGGTGATCGTCTGGAGTTGAGCATAACGCTTGTCGGGATCAGCATCGATTCGGTTGTCATGTCGACGTTCGTCATCGTGCTGTTGACAAGTTCCTTGTATCCCGAGTGCGCTAGGCTCTGAAAAGGAGTCAGTCTGTACAAATCCTGTTACTGTGTATCAGGAAGGCATACCTTCTACCTCTTGGGAAAGAAGTATCTCGTACTGCTCCACTAACTCTGCATCTTCTTCCCGCAGAGCTTCGTAAGCACGGCTCCAAAGTAAAGATGTGTCGCTTGTCAGCGACGTTGTCGGCTGCGGCTGCTCAGTTGCGCGTGGTGATGGACTTGGACTTCGACCGTGCATCAAGGATCGTCGTGGCTCAGTGACTGTGATCGGTTCAGAATTATCCGCTGGGTCTCGTTGACTGACGGCAGACGGCGCACCGTCGGATGGCACCGGCGTGTGGGCGGTTCGGTCATGGCGAGCACGCTATACATCCGTATTGCCGCTACTGGAGCGTGATGATGGCTTCAAGCGTTGCAGGACTTTCGAGAAACCCATGTTGTGCGCCAATTAATTTGTGGCTAGAGGCGTAAGAGGCCGCAAAGAATCTGGCTGCGTTTTCGCCAGTTGATCGACCCCGCGAAATGAGTGAAGTGTCCATGAAGGAGAGGCTGGAGCAATGCGGGTCTACGGCACAGCGTCAGCTCAGCCAATCGCGCAGCGCTGGGACGAGAACCATCTCAGTCAATTTGCGCTGATTGTGGCCCTTTCGTGCGTTGTACCTTCTGTCCTCTCTTTTATATTTATGGGAGTTTGTGGACTCCATGTTCACTAATAAGCTGCAACTATCTACAGCATAAGCACGTTGGAACAGATGTTCAGAAACAAGCGGCTGCTAAAATAAAAGAGTAATGCGTGTTTAAATGCCTATTGAATTTCGTACGTTGGAACATTACTTTGATAGGAAATACGTCTTGGTCGATGTGAAAGACAGACGACAGTGCTTCGCGATGCGACGATGAGTTCACGACGTTGCTGTACTGGGCACAAGACGAACCACGCTCGGTCGCGGGAGCTAAACCGCCCGCCCGGTGCGCCGCCTTCTCGCCGCCTCGCCGAACCCAGCCGCCGGCCTTCAGCTTTGGATGAGGCAAAGATCTGTTGTCTGATCATGCCGATCCCACTCCGTTGCGCCGCTTTCACCAGCATCCTGCCACATTCCTTCGACCCTTATGTTCTTTTTTGCTCTCATCACAACTCTCGAATTATCCGGTTCCGTGGTTCCACGCAGTCAATATGAGCAATATCGAAGCGAACCGTGGCTGGATCAAAAAGGCTAGCTTAGCTAGCCCTCGAACGGATGGCATCCCCGGTGGAGCACGAATGGGGCATTCACAGCGCCCCATCGTCCATGTTACGATGCGTTGGAACTGGGTAGCATTACCTTTCACATCAACATATCAAATAATGTCTGGAATCAGGGGTCCTTCTTCGCTCCAAGATAACATTACCTGCAGCTATTGGACAACGTGGTGCTTGTGTTAGAATTTAGGTGGCACATTTTTAAGAATAGCAATCATGGGAGATCACATAACTCTCGGGTGCCCGGTCACTTTTCAGAGTCCGTCTGCCAAATACGCACAATTATCGTTGTGGAAGGCACCGTCCCATGTGGAAATATGCCAGCTCTTGTACGCAGGGCATTCCCATGAATTGTTTCCTGGGTGACCTAGGATGACCTTCGGCTAACTTGAAGACAAGCTTTCGACATTGACCACGCGAATGACACTCTCTAAGGAGAATTCCTGCTCGAACTGTAATCCCTTTGACATTATTCCCCGAAACCATGTTGGCAGTCATTGAAGAGTACGTCCCGCCAACGGATCTACCCTTTACGAAGTTGTTGGGTTTTGCAAGGAAATTAACGCTGGGGGTCTACGGTGAACCTGACACGACCAGGCTGCTTGCTGCGACCCGTTTGGACCTGGAGAAGAAGAAAGCTCACGTTGCGCAGATGAGTCCCGGATCACTCCTTGTGCCCGGAACCCCAGCTCTGGGAGTCGCTCATGACTCGAGCCATGCCTGCCAGCGTAGACAAGGGTCTTGTTGTTCGCACAAGCCAAGCCCCAACGGCCGGAAGCTAGGCAAGCGGGGCCATCCTGCTGGCAAAATCACCTGTCGACCCAACCGCCCGTTCACATTTCGTGATTATCTTCAAGGCACAGAGCCTTTCAACTCGACCAGATACTCGGCTATATTATTTTGACAGATAATGAAGTCTTCGCTACCGCGTCTGGGCTAGATATCCCTGGCGATCATCCGTCCACGTTGGCCCATGCAGGCTGAGGCAGCTCAACATCCCCTGCTGGTGCCCCCCTTGTCTGCTGAACTCCGTGTTGGTGGCAGACTCCAGTCAGCACCAAATCGATGGCCGCATGTGGGTCGGGCGGGATACCACTTCTTCAACTCGTCTACATGATGTCTCTCCACAATCGTGCGTTGAACTTCACATGTGCATCTAGCCCCTGAGCGAACAGGCTGTCCAAGCAGCTTCCTCTTCCCAAAATGGGTTGGAAACCTTTCCACCCCAGCCGCGAGTGATTTTCTTGCCTTCCAGTCCCAGCATCTGTCACTGCCGCATAAACAAAAGTAGTAACACTTCTCCTCTCTCGCGAGTCATCCGCCTGCAGCCGGCTCCTGGCCCCCGCGTCGACGAATTTCTTGGCTTCATTTGCTTCATGCCGCGACTGACGGCTTGGGCTGGTCGAGGATCACGTCGATGACCTTGTGGTCGTTGTAAGCAGCAACGGTGCGCTCGCAGAGAGTGTGCACACGCTCCTTCGTCTGCAGAGCGTCGGGGCAAATCAGCCAGATGACGTTGGTCATGAAGGAGCGGCGGTACTCGATCATCAGCTCGGGGTCGTTGCGGTCGAACTTGGGACCGCCCTTGCGGTGCAGGGTCTCGAGGTAGTGGTCGAGAATCTCCATCTCGTGGGCGCGGCGGTCCTCGATAGTAAGCATGGCCGTCATGTGGTAGACGATGTCGTGGAAGCACGATCCGAAGTGGAAAGCTGACCAGTCGAGGAAGCCGATACGTCCATCGCCGGTGAAGTAGACGTTTCCGAGATGCGTGTCACCGTGAAGAAGCGTGCGGAACCGGGGGTTGCGCTCGGCGTAGTACCGGTCAAGCGCCTCGTTACATCGCGCGCCGTCCATCAGGTACTCTGGCAGCTTGGGACGGCCGGGTTCGCGGACCACGTCGTGCCATGGCGTACACATAAACTTCATTGCTGGGTCGTAGTTATTCCAGATCCCTGCCCATCGGTCAGACTATGATTTCCTCTAAACGGTGATCAAAAGGGAGCGGCCGCCGCCCTAGGGAGCGAGAAAGGCGCCAGTGAAAGAAACGAAGCGGAATGGGGATCGCCTTACAGGGATGGTCTTCCTGGCTTTTACCCCAGTACTGCGCATGCAGACCGGCAAGCTGTTCCACGCCATTCTTCACCTTCTCGACTGAGTAAGCGGCGACCTCCGGGGGAAAGGTGCACCCTTCGTGGACGAGGTCGGTCATGACGGCGATGCCCTGTTTCTCGCTCGTGCCACTCCACCAGCCATTGGGGAAGATCATGCTTCCTTGAACGGTGGGCGCGATCTTGGAGAAGAACTCGGCCTCGCGCTGGGCCAGGCTGACGGTCCAAGGCTGCTGCTCGACCATCTCCTTGCTGAAGACGCCCTTGATGCAGACATGCTTGGGCCGGGACTCGTCCGCGTCGTTTCCGTCCTCGTACGTAATGGTGTAGAAGAGCTTGCTGCCCGTGCCCCAGATGTTGCGCGTGTTCTCGAGCGACTTGATCTTGTGGCCAAGCTTGGCCCCGAGCCACTCGGGGGTGATGCCCTCGGGCAGGACGGGGAGCTCTTCGGTCGTAGTTGTCGACATCTTCGGGGTGTGTTGCAGCGGTCAGCCTTTTCTGGTGGTATCGCGGGGTTTGGGTTGTAGTTTGCACCGACAGCCCAGAAGAGCGGAAGGTGTTCCCAATATATAAAACCACCACCCTTCCTCACCGCCTAGGCTCCAGCATCAACCCCGCGTTTACCGCGTCTTTGTGTAGAGATATCGCTCAATTTCCTATTCGTACATTGCTACAGCGTGCTGTTCTCTAACTCCCCGTCCGGAATGTGGAAGACACAGGTAAACCCGGCACATTTGAGTGGAACCGACACCAACAGCTCGAGTCGCGAGTGACAATCGACAATGATCCCACCCGACGAGCTGGATTCCAGTCCTGATTCGGTACGGCTGCCCCCAACACGGAAACTCAAATTGGGCAATACTCCGGTCTGCTGGGAAATTGTGCCTTGCATGGGGTTCGCCTGTATCTGCGGAATAGTTTCGACTTCGATGAGTAAATGCACCTCGCGTGGGGAGCATACGATGACAAGCTGCGGTAAAAACCCACGAGAGGGCTGCCGCTACAGAAAACTGCCGCTGCAGAATCTTGGCGTACATCTTGGCTGGACGGTTGTAATCCGCCAACGTTCCGTCTTTGGCTACCGTGCCGCGACGGGATTATGCGTCTCGCCTACACGCGTACGCAGACCTGCAGGGGGCGTGAAGCCAACAGGATTCGGAACCCTGGGACATCCTTTTCCTGTCCCACCACCCTGTACCGTCTTCATGAGGAGGAGTGGATATCTCGTCTTGATCGGTCATCGGTGAGAAATTCGTTTTTTGATGCCCTACTAGACAGCCCCGTTTCCAGCCGCCCCCTTAATGGCACCACATCTCCCTTCTTTGGGAAGTGATGATCCCCTATGGGATTCTGGAGAAAGACGATTCGGGTTATTAACTTATTGTGCTAGCAGGAACCGTATCCCGCGGACACTAACCCAAGGCGGACCATGGATAAATGCTGAAAAGGACGTCGTTCCCCGTTTATTCGTCGGAGTAGCCCCTCCTGCGAAAGTTTTCTCGAACCGCGAAGCTATCTCGGAGACAGTCCAACCACACACGACGGGTGCAGCGGGCAGCCTGAACAGAACCGCAACCATGGCGAAGGATCTGATGACGACCAAGTTCGAGCCCATCCAACCCGAGGGCCTGGCGCTCATCATGTTGGTGGTGGCGGTTGTCATGACCGTCCTGTCCAGCGCGGTGGTGTGTCTGCGTTTCCACGTCCGCATCACGCTGAAGTCCTTTTCTACCGAGGACTGGCTGATGCTTGCAGGATGGGTAAGTCTCTGCGCGGCAGTTACCTAGCTGTCTCTTGATGGAAAATCCACATCGCTGAAACTTTCTCGCAGATCATCAACCTCGGACACAATGCGTCCGTCATCGTGCTTGCATACAGAGGAATCGGGTC